ATACATGATAAAACCTTCATTTTCTTTTTCTGAAAATATTGTACTTAAAATACTTTAAATTCAAAATTATTATATATAAAGTTATTATATAAATTTTTATAGCATTGTGGGTATTTTGATTAACATGATGCTTTTCCCTATAGGGGGCAACAGTAGCAGAAATTAAGAAACAGTATCGTTTGTTGTCACTTAAATATCATCCAGATAAAGGTGGTGATGAAGTTATGTTCATGAGGATAGCAAAAGCTTATGCTGCGTAAGTATAAGATGCATTTCAAATTTTTAAGAGTAGTAAATATAGTTTTCTTTTTAGGTAAAATAGTAACTAAAATGGTTTCTATATACCTTTTGTTAACTGTTGACCCCCATATGTTGAACCTATTATTAAGGAGTTACCCGACACTCTAGAAAAGTCATGTTGTTGCCCTGTGAAGTTGGTTAAATTAAATAGTAAGTGCTATGTGAATTGAACTATTTTCTAAGCATCCTGATTAGAAGAAAATATATTTTGTTTTCATCTCTAGGCTTTTTATTATTTTATGTCTTTTTTTTTTCTTTACATGACAGTGTAGCTTGTTTTATTTTGGGGAGCCAGGGTGCAATAGGTAAAATTAAAAGCAGTTATTTCTTGAGTATAATATTAGAACTTGTAAGAGGTGCAGCCCCACACAATCATTATGTTAAAGAGTAAAAAGATAAGGTGTGAATTTTGAGGACTCAATGAACTATAATTTTGTGAGCTAATTAAAAAATACAGGTAAATTATAGGATACTCCAACATGGTAGTGAACTGAGAAACTGACCTGTTTTATGAAAAAAGTTTTAGGGAATGTTACTGTGCTTATTAGTAAAGTATGTTGCCTGTCTCTTCTCCCAGTTTTTTGGACCACTTACTATCTATATGAATATGATTCTGCAATAAAAAGTGCCTTCAGGAGCTTCTGAAGTGTGCACTGTATTTTCTTTTCTGCACAACAGATGTCCTCCAGATTGATGTCTTTCAGTTGGTGTCTTCTTTCCCCCTTTTCTCAGCGTGTCTCCTTCAAGCATTTACTCTTGTTGCACAAGAATTGCTGTGCCTTAGTTGCTGTCTTAAGGTAATTTAAGAACTGAAGATTTCCAGAGGAAATCAGATAACCAAAATTATTTAATTAGTAGCTTTAATTTTAGTATGTTTGGAACAGTTGTTCAGTTCAGTATCTCAGTTTTCAGGTATTGTAACGTTTTCAAGTTCATGATTTTGTTCTCAGGTTGCTAGAAATTTTATTTGTGACATGATCACTATTCAATAACTGCAGATGAATAATAGCTTTGGTTTTATGTGAGTTACATGAACGAAGTTAGAAAATGTTTTGTATGTAAAATGGTCTGTCAGGCAATGAAGAGGACCTATAACTTTGAGAACATGTAAATTGTGCAAGTATAACTAGATTATATAAAGATGTGCAACTACTAAAAACAAGTTCTGAGTGATAGAGTTGAAGTTCTCATTAAACTCAAGTAACATTTGGCATAAAGTTCTAGACTTTGACCTGTGGAATCTTTTAGAATTCATTCCAATTCTTCAGGATATTTTCTCTTCCTTATATGTTCATTTTAAGAAACAAGCTGGGTATTTCCACTTCTTCATACTAAATTTTAACTGACATTACCTTAAAGTTATTTTAATTTTTAAAAATGTGTTTTCATAAATCCCTACAAAGGGGCACTCACCTATAATTTAGTGAAAGCATTCTCTAGATCAGGATTTATAATTTGGAATCCCTGAGTTGTATATTGGATTTATATATATACATAGTATGAATGCATTTTTTTTCCAGGGTAAAAGGAATATAGGTTTTATATATTTGTAATAGGATATATTACATAGTCTGCCACCCTTCTTCCCCTTTACCCTGTTTCTTTGAATTTATTAGGTATGAGTCATACTAAAATCATACAGCTCTTAAGTACTAAATTAGGAGTAGTGATAAATAAAAATACTAATCAGTAAACATTGGTTGCTTTGTTGCCTGGCTCTTTGAAAAGTTAGTTCCTTTATTTGATTGAGTATACATATGGTGTATGTGACATAGTGCTTATACAACTTGGTTTAATGAATTTCTTAATGGAATTATAAGCAAGGGTGTGTGTATATGTTGAAAATAAGTTGTCTTCTTTGATGTGAGTAGTGTTTTATTTTGCAAAATCTGAGGTCATTGTATGAAGAACAAAGCAGTTTATTGCGCTGGCATCATCAGGGAGTCTGAAGGAGTGGAACTATGTTGGGGAAAACATTCAGATTAAAGGATAGAATTTTGACAGAAGCAGTAGCTAAACCTCTGGGTTAAGTTGGCTAATTGTGTAGGGGAAGCCAGGGTAAAATATATTTAGAAATATGCCCCCCTTAGAAGAAAAGACTCATAGCATACTACTCCTTATATCAATATGCAACCTCTAATATATTTCACTGACTTCTGTATTTCCTGTGGCCTTCAGTCAGATTGTGTAAGTGGATATACAGTTGGATAAGGGATTAAAGATGTCAAGGAACACATTCCAAATAATCAAATCAGTTTGTTGTAAATATTTTGAGATCATTAAAGTATTAATGTATACTTTTAATTTAACTTTTTAAAAAAGGTACTTCTGTATTGTCTCTTTCAATTGGGAACTTTGTTGAATAGAAGTTACATCGCATCTTAAGTGTGTATGTTCTGGGAACTAGATATGTAGCTAAAATTAATTTGGACATAAATACATATTTTGCCTTTTGATTTGTAAGAATGCATTTCCTATCATACTATTGGTTCATTTTGTGTGTGTGTGTGTGTGTGTGTGTGTGTGTGTGATTTCCATTCTCTTCAACATTAAAAGTTTATGATGAATTAAAATTTTCTTTAAAAATTTTAAGTATCTATCCTGGTTCCTGTAATAAAACTACTCTTTATTTTGTGCCTTGAGCCATTGGCCATGTAGGAAGTTATATTTATCATATGTCTTAAAAATGTCACTCACTTTCATGCTGCTTGAGTTAGGAAGCAATTGTTTTAGCAGGTGTTTTCCTAGTCCCAATTGCAGATGACTTAGGAGAAAATTGGGATCTCAGCACAGTGCAAATGATCTTTTCTATAGCAGTGGAGCTTTTACAGGTCTTGTTCACTTGAACCTTGTGGATGTGGTACTAGTTTTGGAAAGAGCTATCATTATGTATTAATTATATATATATGTGTGTGTATATATATATAAGGTATTTATCATGCTTACTGAAGAAATTTTGGAAACTGTATAAAAAAATAAACTCACCTATTACCCTTTTCTTCTCAGAAAATGTAGAAGTTTCTTCTGACTTGAGCCAGCTAAATGTGAGAAGTCACAAACCAGACAAGAATTTGTATCAAGGCTCTCAATAATTAGCATTTTCTGCTAATGCAGAATTTCTTATTTTCCCTTTACCCCTTTGATTTCGGAAAGATTTTTCTTAATTCTTTAAAATCTTTAAGAAATGAGTTGGTTAGTTAATGGATTTTTCATACATAAGTACTTATTTAGAATTGAATTTCTAATTATTCAACTTTGTTATCTTCATGCTAGTTTAACTGATGAAGAGTCCCGGAAAAATTGGGAAGAGTTTGGCAATCCAGATGGACCTCAAGGTGTGTTAAGTGGTGGTTAATAAAAACTGGGTTGTGACCCTCCTTGGTGGTTCAGTGGGTTAGGACGCAGCACTGCAAAGCGGCCGCTTCAGTGTGAGTTCAATCCCTGGCCCTGGAGGTGATCCACATGGCGTGGCAGATCTCTCCTGACCCGTCCACTGCTCCCTCAGCAGTGTACTTCGCTAATCTGCCTGATCCGCTCCCCACTCTGTCTCTGGTGAACCCTGTCATGGTCCCTGCACCTCTGTCTTGTACCCCAGCTCTGTATGCATAAGTAAATCTTAAAAAAAAAAAAAAAACTGGGATGTGCATAATATTGTGAAGTTGAACTAGATTGGAAGGAATATTTGGATATTTAGGGTTTATGAATAGTAAAATTACAACCACAGGGCTTCAGAGTTAGTTATGTAAATTAAGTTCCTTTTAATTTTTAATTTTTTATTTATAGAGCCTAGTTAAGATTAAACTTAGGTTGATTTGGAAGGAGGAGTGGCCACTATCATTATTCATCATTTCCAGTTAGTTGATAAAAATTGGGTGAAAAAATAAGCTTTCTACTGACTTTAAATATATTCATGGTGTTTGCATACCCTCAGAACATACAAAGACTTTAGATTATTCTGGAAGGAATTTGTGTAGATGAAAGGGTTTTTTTCCCACCTCTTACAGAAAAATTTGAAATTTCAGATGCGAACCATATTCTGTGTAGTGGGGACACATAGTAAGACACACTTTCTCAGGATTTTGTGGGGAAGAGGCAAAATTTTGGGATATAAATAAACTGGATGTGAGGACTTAACAAATTCTCTTCTTGTTTTAGCCACAAGCTTTGGAATTGCTTTACCAGCTTGGATAGTTGACCAGAAAAATTCAATTTTGGTGAGTCAGTGATAAAAAATACATCATAACATGTTTGACATTTTGGTAATATAAGGAGAATTATAAATTGAATGGTAGATCTTTTTCTTTTTGGTATGATTTGGTGCAGGTTTCAGTCATATCGGTAACATTATTGCCATTAATTTATATGAAAAAGATTTTGAGTTTTCCCAGGCCTCCAAAATAACCTACCATGGTATGTGTGTGTGTTTATGTGTGTGTGTGTAGGTATGCATCATGTTCTATACTTTCATAGATAATGGGGCAGACCTGTATTAGTTTGGGGGCTGGGGCAGTCTATTGTAAATGTAGTTTTAAAGCCTTAAAGTTGTGATTGGGGAATTACCTTTTTTTTAAAAATGAAATTTGCCTCTGTTCTAAGCAGTACAATGTTTAAATTACCTTTCTTTTCATTTTTATATGGCAAAATTAATTTTACTTGTTTGCTAAATTAATGATGTATATTCCATATGCTACTCATAAGGTAATTGGACATCAGATGATGGTAGGATATTAACCTTCAATTGGTGATAGATGCTGCAACTTTAAGATATTACAGTTATCTTATTGTTCAGGAATAGATGATTTCCTACTTAAACTTCCTTTAAAATAATGATCTAGAAATGTTTCTTTGAATGAATAAAAACCAAAATCCATATATAGCCATCATGTGGCTATTAGGTATTATTTTATGGCAGATTAATATTCATTAGCTTGAAGAATCAGTAATTGCTATATATCAGTGTTTATCATAATGTTCAGGGTTACTCAAAATACTAATAAAGCACTTGGGTTTGGGGTTCAAGCAGTAGAGATATTTCAAGAGAAAATCTAAGATCAATAGAGATTACTTACAAACAGGAGATTATGAAGTAGCCCCTTGATACTTAGGCAAAGGAACTAGGTTTTTGTCATTTACTACAAAAGCAGTAACCACTTGCCAGGCTGTAGCTAGAGTGGATGTGCAAGTACCTGGCTGGCAGTTCCCTGTTGTAGACTATATGGATTATAGGCTTTATGGATTCTATATTTTTATTCATCCAAATTTATATAATCTGTAAAACTTCATAATTCAATTATGAACAATAATTTTATAAGATGAGCTGTTACCATTAGCATATCAGTATATAGCAAGTTGATTTAGTATAATGGATAAGAGCATGGTCTCTAGCTGTGCAACCTGCTAGAGCTGTGTAACATATATGTGCTGCAGGCTCCCTGTCTGCAAAAGAAAATAATAATGAGACCTTGCTTATAGTGTTTGATAATGAGAATTATCTTAGTAATTCTCAGGTCCAATTGCCTTGTGAAGAAGAACAAGAGAAATATAAGAGTCCTTTTTATAGAGGTTCATGTATCATAAGTTCAAAATTAGTGTTAATGGATGATAGGTAATTGTGTTGTTTTTTTCATTTCTAGGTTTTGCTTGTGTATGGATTGGCATTCATGGTTATCCTTCCAGTTGTTGTGGTAAGTTCTAATTCTTTTATCAGCATTTATTTAGAAAAAGACTTTATGGCATATTTTGGTGAATTCACATAAAGTTGTAATTTGACTAGAATATAATCTATTAATTCTTGATTTAAGAATCTTATATTCAACTATACTTTAAAAGACTTCTAAAGGTGACATCACTTGAATATGTTAAAGAATATCTACTCCCCATCCAAAAGTTATACTCAGCAACTAAGATAATACAGGTCTATTTAGAGTTTAAAATGGAAATCTTCCTTTACTCTATTTCTCTGTTAAAGATAATCATTGCTGGGCCCTCCTTGGTGGCGCAGCGGGTTAAAGCACTGCACTGAGAAGCTAAAGCCACTTCCGCATGAGTTCGATTCCCGCCTGCCCCGGAGGTGACCACATGGCGAGGCAGACCTCTCCTGACCCGCCCGCTGCTCCCCTCAGCAGTGTACTTTGATCATCTGCCTGTTCTGCTCCCCACTCTGTCTCTGGTGAATCCTATCACCCTCCACATCTCTGGCCTGTACCCCAGTTCTGTATGAATAAATAAATAAATCTTTTAAAAAAAAAATAAGATAATCATTGCTGTATTTAGTGTTTTTTTCCTTTCAAATATTTTTGCTTTATTGACTAGGTGAACAACATACAGAACAACCTTTATTTTTTTAACTGAATATTTATTTATGCATACAGAACTGGGGTACAGGCCAGAGGTGCAGGGGTAGTGAGAGGATTCACCAGAAACAGAGTGGGAAGCAGAACAGGCAGATTGACTGAAATACACTGCTGAGGGGAGCAGCAGGCAGACCTGTTCTCCTGTTAATTCAGGAGAGGTCTGCTGTGCCATGTGGGTCAGCTCCCTGGCCGGGGATCAAGCTCATGCTGAAGTGGCTTTAGCTTCTTAGTGCTGTGCTTTAACCTGCTGCACTACCAGGGAGGGCCCTAAAATAACCTTATTTTTAAAGACACTTTAATACGGAAAGTCTATAAAGTTTATGATTTTACTGTTTTTCACTTTTTGACTACTGGTATTGCTTCTGATCTTATAGTTCCTCTGAGTGCAATTATGAGGCTATCGTTTAACCTTTCTTGACTTCATGGAATTGTTTTGTGAGGATCCAGTCATAGAATAACTTGTGTCAGCTGAAAATTGCTCCTACACTTATTTATTAGTGGCATCTATGTGTCAGGAGCTATTTGTTGCCCATAGCAATGGGTTCTTTCTATTTTGTTTCCAAATAATTTTAATTTAAACTTAAATGTTGTAATATATGTGTAGTGAGGTAGGTTAGACTTCAAGGATCATAAATAATGTGTTAAAATAAACATGTTTTGGGCCCTCCTGGTGGCACAGCCAGTTCAAGCACAGCAGTAAGAAGCTAAAGCCACTTAAGCATGAGTTCAATTCCCGCCAGCCCCGGAGGTGACCTACATGCAGCAGAACTCTCTGACCTACCCGCTGCTCCCCTCAGAAGTGTACTTCATTGATCTGGCTGTTTTGCTCCCTGCTGTGTGTACGGTAAATCCTCTCACCATCCCTGCACTTCTGGCCTGTACCCCAGGATGCATAAATAAATAAATCTTAAAAAAAAAAAAAAAAACATGTTCTGCATGAGATTTAACATTTACTATAGTTTTCATGTTTAATTTTGTATTTTTAGGGTTCTTGGTGGTATCGTTCAATACGGTACAGTGGAGACCAGATTCTTATACGAACAACACAGATTTATACCTATTTTGTTTATAAAACCCGAAATATGGATATGAAACGTAAGTAAATTTAAGTAACTGCAAATATTAGATAATTTTCTGCATCATTTATGTGGTGGTGATATGAAATTCCTTTTAACAGTTTTACACTCAATTGTTATAATTAAAACTGCAGGAAATTCTGCACTGTACCACTTTTCTTGATCTATATTTCTTATTCCCCATTTACTTATTTGTGTGTGTGTGTGTGTGAGAGAGAGAGAGAGAGATCAGAAATTGTATGGTAAAGCTTCATTGTGGGCTAATAGTGGAATAATGCTAGTTAACATTTTTTGAGTGTTTGATGTGCCAGGTATTGTTAAGCACTATATATGTTTTAGATCATTTAATCTTTGCCTTATCCCCTTAAGTGCTGTTTTAAAGCACATTTTATAGATGAAAAAACTGAACCTACAGATACATAATAAGCGACAGAGGTAGAATTGAACCCAGGCAATCTGGTTCCTAAACTCTAATTTGGTACATTATATACAGTGTTAATCTTAGTAAAATAAGCACAAGTCTTGGGTATTTTGGAAGAAAATTGACAACATGTTTCATTCTCAGAATCTTAATGCAAAATATCTTATGAAAATAAAGTACCATCCTAAATGTTTGATCCCATAAGGCCCCAAAAATTAATTAAAAGGTTTAAGTTTTTTCGCTGGAATATATAAGGCTGCTTTTTAGAATTACTACATTACAGAAATCTTAAATATCTTCCATTCCATCCTTAAAAATAAATGAAGACACGTTTTAAATTGTGCCTCATTGGAAAATACATGTTTGTTTCAAAACCTAAATGGAGTTTTCTATAATTACAATTTGTCAGTTTTACTAACTTTCTTGGTAATGAGAAGGACTCTAGAATCATATGACCTTGTGAACAGACCTTACATTTCTGAGGAATGAATTGCAGCAGAATAAGTGAGTGATATTCTCCCTTATGCACATGCATCATGCTTCCTCATGCAGGATTAAAATAACAATATAGAAATTTATTGTCTTAAAAATATTTCATATTTGTAATCTGTTTGAATGTGTATAGTTTTTTTGTCAGTGATTTGATTGCTGTTTCACTTCTGAGGATGGTAGTTAACCTTAACACAAATTTGCCAGAAAAGCATTGTTCAGTTTGGTTACATATTCTTGGTTATTCTAGTATTGACAACATTTGTATAGCTGTCTTTGGAAGAGTTGTTTTCCTGAAAACATTTGATGATAGTAATAGCTTGGGCATTGGTCTGCTTACTTTCTGTTACACATATATAAAGAAATTAAGGCCCAGAGAGAGGAATATAGCCCTTGGTTATTTAGCTAGCTAGTGGAAAGTAGGGCACGTACACTAAACCACCATACCTGCTATAAAGTGATGACTGTAGTGCTAGTCCTTACACAGCTTGGATAGACAGTAATGCCAATATGTTGGCTGTGAATTATGTGAATTTCAGAGAATCCCATTTCCCCAAAAATCCTCGAGGGCTCCTTAATAAAATTTTCTGTATATTGCAGTGTATTTTAGTTTATGCAATACTAAGAAGTTAGGCATCGAAGAAACCTAATTATTTTTTTCCTTAAAGATTTATTTATTTGTGCATACAGAACTGGGGTACAGGCCAGAGGTGCAGGGGCGGTGAGAGGATTCACCAGAGACAGAGTGGGGCACAGAACAGGCAGATCGATGAAGTACACTGCTGAGAGGAGCAGAGGGTGGTCAGGAGAGGTCTGCCATGCCATATTGTCACCTCCCGGGTAGGTGGGTTTCTAACTCATGCTGAAGAGGCCTTAGCTTTTCAGTGCCGTGCTTTAACCTGCTGTGCCACCAGGGAGGGCCAAAACCTGGTATTTCTTAATCCAAGTATTTCTTGGCCTTATTACAGTGTGTCTCCTTAATTTACGTAAGTTATTAGCATCTCATGGAGTGCTTAATGCTCTATAGAAAACTTCTGTTGAACACAAGCTCAGCTCTAGAAATAGATGTATTTAAAGTGATTTTAATGACTAGTTACTTTGGAGTCCTTAATTTGATATAGGTTTTTTTTTTTTTTTTACTTGTAATAGGTAATGTAACACTGTACACACTTAAAGGAAGTGAGAGATTTTTGATGGGGTGAATTAATACTAGGTTACTAGTGCTCAGATTACTTCAGCAGCGTGCATGATCGAAAACTGCCTTAGTGTTGGATTAATGAAATATTTTAGGAGGGCAAATTAACAGGGAGCAAATTCATTTAACCTTTCTAGTTCTTTTGCTTCCCTAGGTCTTATCATGGTTTTGGCTGGAGCCTCTGAATTTGATCCTCAATACAATAAAGATGCCACAAGTAGACCAACAGATAATATTCTAATACCTCAGGTTAGCACTATCTCCCACATATATTAAAGTATTTAATATATTAAAGTATTAAAAGTTAATATGTTTTAAGTGTATATTTTTGAATAATTAATTTTATTTACTCTAGCTAATCAGAGAAATTGGCAGCATTAATTTAAAGAAGAATGAGCCTCCACTCACCTGTCCATATAGCCTAAAGGCCAGAGTTCTTTTACTATCTCATCTTGCAAGAATGAAAATTCCTGAGACCCTTGAAGAAGGTATTGTGATTCTAATACCTGCAGGGTTTTACTGGTACAAAAAACAATTAGGTGCTATGGTGTTGTGTTTTGTTATTGTTCTTTTCTGCTTAATCAACAGTTGTTATAGGACCTTTTAAAAAGAAGTCTTTATGCTACATAATTATTTCACAAATAGCTTGAAGGTTTAAAAACATCTATTTTGGCAGATTGTGAAATTTACTATTTTGAGGTGAGAGAATATAAGGAATGTTTGGTTAATTGCACGTTATACAATGTTTCCTAATGACTTGTAAAAAGGGATTTTGGTGGACTTTTGGGAGAAGGATAAAAATGGATTGCAAAGCCATGTATCTCAATTAATTCCATCACCACCATCATTCACTATCATTCATCATTGGTTACCAGTCAAGTGTCTGTTTCATCTTTGAAGCTTCATATTCTCAAAAGCAGCATATTGGGATGCAGAATTTACAGCAGTGTCACAGATTTGATCTTCATCTTTTCTTCACTTGAATTTCAATTAAAGTTTCAAAAGAAAGTTTATTAGCTTTAGGGAATAAATGTTCTTTCTCAGTGACTCCACCTCCCCTTTAAGTATGCCTTTGAAAACAAAACTGCTTTGATGCTCAGCAGTTAGTGACGGATAGTATGCTTATTATGGAATGAAGAAGTACTATTTTGTTACCAACCCCAGTGAATTGTCTTAATTGTATAACCAAGAGAGTCTTCCCTGACTCTTTTCTCCTCCTTTTCTGCACATTTAGTTGTTATTCATTGTTAGTTTTATCAGTCTTTGGACTATTATACTTAATGAATCATAGGTACACAATAAAAAACTCTTAAACCTTTTAAATATAGTAAGAATTGGATTAAGTTTAGATTTATGATTTTTCCAAAGAAAGATAGGGAATAAATTTACAAGTTCAACACCTTAACAAAATTTACTTTTGAAACATCTCATCTGAGCTAGATTTTTCTAACTGGTTTTTGACTTAATACTGCAATGGAAAAACTGGTCTAAAATTCTGAGTACTGAAATACTTGTGGGACAATTTAAGTTGGACTATAGGTGACAAATTTACCAATGTAAAGTGATTTAAGTTTTTTTTTTATTGTTTTATAGATCAGCAATTTATGTTAAAAAAGTGCCCTGCTCTACTTCAAGAAATGGTTAATGTAATTTGCCAACTGATAATAATGGCCCGAACACGTGAAGGTAAGGAGCAAACATAATTTTGCTGAACTTTTTCACGCAAGATATGTAGATTATGCTTAGTAGTTTTAAAATTTATGGGTGCTTACAATAATTCTATCTATACAGCTTTTCTGTCTTGTTCATGGGTTTTCTTCTACATTTTCCATTATGTAAGTCTGTGTCACAGCTCATATTTTTTAACGTAATTTTTAATTCTTTTATAGTTTATTGTTATTTATTGCTTGCCGATATTTAAAATATCCTTTTCATTTCTCTGAACATTTTAGGGTTCAGTTATTTTTACTTTTTACAATGAGTTGAAATAATTCCTTTAAGTGATATAATAATGGTTCACCTGACATTCATGTTTTTTGTATGAAGGAAAAGAATGAGGGAGTTTGTGGTGAGTAATGGAAAAGGAGACCGTTAAAAAGGAAATAGTGACTCTGGTTTGTTGTTACAGGTGATGTCAGTTCTTGGCATAGTTTCCCTGTGGTCTTGATACTGATAATAATGTCTGGTAATTACTGGTTTTGGATGTGATACAAAGAATTTTTCTGTTAAACCAATGGTTGTTGCTAGATGATGTATTTGACCTAGTCTGTATATTTCTAGTATCTTAGTACTTTTCAAAGGGAAAAGCAACATTGTGGTGTTAAAATTTGAGCTGTTAAGGATGTTTGTGTGAATCTTGTTTTTGGTGATGAATTGTTTATTTTTGAACATATAAAAAGTCCAGCCCTGTGTTTTCTTTTCTTCCTATTCTTTTCTAAGAAAGGGAGTTTCGTGCTCCAACTTTGGGATCTCTAGAAAACTGCATGAAGCTTTCCCAGATGGCTGTACAAGGCCTTCAGCAGTTTAAATCTCCCCTTCTGCAGCTCCCTCACATTGAAGAGGACAATCTTAGGAGGGTTTCCAATCATAAAAAGGTAATTTTTTGCTACTTTAAAGTCTGTTTTCAGCAGTTTGTCCTGTCACCTAAGTGAGAAGTTTTCTAGCATTAGTTATGAATCTCTTAGACTTAGTGTGAATCTTTTAGACTTAGTATGTGTTAGGACATTATAGATCTCTCAAGCGGTCCTGTTAATCTTTTCTTGATAAGGTAATTAATTTATAATAAATTAACCTCACAAGTGGTTTTACTTTGAGATAACTGTTTAGTAGTTAACACTCTTTTCTCTATGTTACCAAAAATAAACATACTAAATAAGATACAACTGTGTGTTTTTATTTTGTTCCATTTGTGCCTTAAAGGTTAGGTAATGGTTTGTTGGTAGATTGTGAACAAAATAGTTAAGTAATCAAAAAACAAGTAGTTCAAATAAATATAATTCTTATTTAGAAAATAAACATTTAGTGAAGACACGATAATGACTTTTTTTTAAAGATTTGTTTTTCTTATGCATACAGGAACTGGGGGACAGGCTAGAGGTACAGGATGGTGAGAGGATCACAGGAGATAGTGTGGGGAGCAGAACAGGCAGATTGAGTGAAGTACGCTGCTGAGGGAGCAGTGGGCGAGACAGTAGCTCACTGGTTGGAGATTGAAGTTGTGCTGCAGTGGCTGCTGATTGCTTCATGGTGTTGAGACTTAACCCCTGGCACAAGCAGGGAGACCCAGCATGATAATGAATCTTAAGATATAGCAGACATGTATAAAATATGTAGTAAAAAGCTTGGAAAAATGTAAGAAAAAAGATGGCATGATTTTGCAATTTTGGTAGAATGTTAAAACTTTACTTTCCATACAGTAGACAAAGTGGCAGAAGGAAAGACAGTGGATTTCTTAGTATATGAAGGTAGAATTAATAAGTATATTAGAGTTTTGCATGAGCAGTCTCTGTCCTTTCAACTGTGTTACTTTTAAAAACCTGATCATATTGTAAATCATAGTTAAAAACTTAAGAATCCAAAAAGGGCATTTCACTTGCCTCATCACCTAATAATACCTGTTGATGAAAGTGAAAATTGGTAATTAGCATCAAAAATCTGGAAATTAAAGAACACTCCTAAATAGCCATTTAGCCAAGATGACTTTTACTGCAATAATATCTGTTTAGGAAATAACAAAAATGAGGCCACTGCATTACTGTTGCGTGGTAAAATCCTAAAGGTATAGTTGTACTTGAAGATAAATTCATATTCTTGAAGTTTTTAATTATTAAAAATGAAAATAACTCGTGGGGATTACAATCGAGATGGAAAAAAAATGTTCAAAATGATGTAAAAATAAACTTTTGTAATAAAAAAAAGAAAAAAAATGAAAATAAAGGTCAACAAACTAAGTACACCACATGACTGTAGTTCTCGATTGGCTCAGGATTCGATAAGAATGTACTCCTTTTTTTTTCCTCCAACATTTTTTACTTTAAAATTTCACTGATTTTGTAGTAACAAAACTCAAACTCAGGTTTTCTTAGAAAGAAGGCCTGGAAATACTGCTGTATGTGCTGGTTTGAAATGTATGTAATTTTAACATTTTTTTAAAAATTGCTAGATTTAATAGTGGTAAACATTTTAATTTAACTTTTGTGAAAAAATTTTATGACTGAGAGATTTAATTTCTTTCTATTTTTAACAATTCAGTACAAAATTAAGACTATTCAGGATTTGGTGAGTTTAAAAGAATCAGATCGTAACAATCTACTACACTTCCTTGAAGATGAAAAATATGAAGAGGTTATGGCTGTCCTTGGGAGTTTCCCTTATGTTACCATGGACATAAAATCACAGGGTAAGTGGGAAGTTTCCTTCTTGAACATTGGTTCCCTTTTGATAGATCAGCTCATGTTTATTTGAATCAAGGTTCTCAAAACATTTCATTAAATAACATAACTTTAGTTAGACTGTATAGAACTGTGGCTTACTTATCAGATTTGTTATGATGTAAAATGATGTATGGTTGGTAATTTTGAGAACATTGGTAGTCTTATTATCCTTATTAAGATTCTTGTTCTGTAGTTCAATTTTCAATATCTTAACTTTTCAATGAAAAGAGGTGAAAGAGATTTTCAGATGTAATGAAAGACATTTGAAGTATGTATTAGTATGAAAGAAATAGCTACTTAGTTCTAAAATGAATTTGCAGAGCCTAACTTACTTATGTTAATGAAAACTTGAAAATTACCATGTCCTCTGCTACACAGTTCATGTATTTATCTAGATTTAGCTCTCTACTTTATGTCTGTGTCAAGTAACAATAGAGATTATTTTTCTCCCTATGTAATTATCCTGTGTTTCCATTTTAATAGCAAAATAATACTGTCTTAGAACAGTGACAGGATTAGAGATTATGCTCCATTCCTTCATAGTGACAATGCTCTGAACTGTGACATTTACTGAGTTACTGTTATGAGATCATTCTTGTGTTACCAAGAATGTAAGGATACATTAGGGATGGTTTCTGTTTTTAAGGCCTTAAAATCTAGTTGAGGAAATAGTACATAAATAAGAATTAAAAACAAGGAAACAGACTGTAAGTGAATGACACAGGCATTGTGCCATTTGTTCATTCAGTAAATTATTGAGTGACACTCCTTGGTGGTGGGATAGCAGTTATAAGTCAAAGCTTATGTCTTGATTGAGGTTTTATTCTAGTGGAAACTGAGAAGAGATAAATGGTTCCTTAAGACTTGAGGTGTTTGAGAAAAAAAGGGTTCATTTTGGCTGAAGCGTAGGATGCAAGTACTAAAAAGTTGTGGGATCATTTTGATAAGGAATTGAAATTTCCTTGTGAGCCCGAGTTTTCAGACTTTAAAAACACTAATCTGTGCTTTATTCAGGACCATTCCGAGTTAATCAGAAACTAAATAAAAATATAGTTTGGAATTTAGATACTCTGATATATTTGTGAACGTGAAAGTTATGTGCTGCTTAGAAAAATAAATACTCTCACATATTAGAAGTCAGGTGAGAGTATTTAATACCCTTGGGAAACATTACAGTGTGTTCTAGTCTACAGTATCTTGTATAAACAGTTTATTTTATATTTTTACAGTGTTATCAAAATGTGTAACACGAGTGGTATAGTAATAGAGAGAGTAGAGTTAATAGAAGTGGGAAAGAGACAACTGCTTGATCTAGTGCTGGGAATGGTGGGTTTCATGTTGTTTAGAGACTACATATAATAAGAGAACTTTTAGAGACGTGCTCTTCATTTGAAAGTGTCAGGTGGCAGTGACATTAATATAGCTGTTAAGTCACAATGTTCATGCTCGTACAACAGTGGTAAATCGGTAGCCCAGATTTGACTGAGATAATGGAAACTTCCAGGTGAAGAAGAGCTATTGTGTCCTTTCTTGATGCCCAGCCATTGTACCTTATAGCTAGTAATGGAGGAGAGAGCACTTTTAAATTGTTGGGAGACCATTCTTTTCCAGTGGTGATATGTTAGTATATAGTCTAACTCTGTAAAATAAATAGTAAATTTAGAAAACATGTAGGAAAAAATACATACATGAAGAAAACATAGATAGAATCTATGGAAATACTATACCATTATAGGTGTGATGTTACATTGATTTTTTAAAAAACTTTAAAAAATTCATTTTAATGTTATTTATTTTAGTATTAAGTTTATTTTAATAGACATTGGCAATTTTAATACTAACAGATTAATGGATGGATTTAAAAAATTAAACAATTATAAAAACTTCACAAAAATATTTTAAGGTGTTTTTTTAATGTAAGTAGTATTGTGAATTTTTTGCCTTAAAATAGAAATTTCTGTATTGTGGCTTGGAATATTAATTGTAATTACCTTATGACAGATAGGCATTGGCCATACAGGTAAAATCTTATGAGTGTAATGTTTGTACAGTTTAATAGAGTAACAGCTCTATCTTAGTATCACTAAATATGGTATGGCTACTGTATGGCATTTCTCAGTCATACCTTTGTTTTAAAACAAGCTTGGGATTGCTGATACAGCTAATATGTAACCTTAAACATTTTATTTTATTGCTGAGTGTCGGCTTCTTTAAAGTGGAAATAATAATAATGATAGTTTAAAATGCTATTTTTTTCCCCATAAAACTATTTTAATGATTAAGTAAGCCCATGGGAAAGCCTTATCCAGAGTAAACAATAACTTAATCTTTGTTGAGTAAATTTAATATATGGCATGTTGGAAATACAGAAGTGTGCATAATTGACTTGGCTAAGTTAAGTTTATATTGTTTATATTGACATGGAGCATTTTTTTTTCTTTCATGTTACAGTATTGGATGATGAAGACAGCAACAACATCACAGTAGGGTCCTTAGTTACAGTGTTGGTTAAATTGACAAGGCAAACAATGGCAGTAAGTAACCTACTTGTAATTTTATGCTTTAGGAACTGTGTTAAAGGTTTTATATATTTTTTTATTTTAAGTCATGTTCCCAAAGACAAAGCTGTTATAGCAGCAAGATCTAATTTTTGCAAGTTCTATTAGCTGTTTTAAAATTTTATATCAATTTCATAATTTTTCACACATACACATTATCTTAGATAACAAACAGGTGAATTTTTGGTGATTTGTTAATTGCCTGTAACACAACAACGTAACGTGGGTATAATTCTTAATCTATAAAGTGCTGTAGAGATGTTAATTAAATCATTTCATCACCTACTCCTTTTTAGTTAGCTCTTTAGAGAATTTACTCTTGGATCTTTTTTTTAAAGTTTTAAGTTGTAGTAAAATAACATTTTTTCCTATTATGAAAAAATCATGCTATCTGGAAAAAAATTCAAACTGCAGAAAAGTAAATGGAGTTGAAATCACCTAAAGTCCTCTCACTTATCAGTTTTAGGCTTCACCCTGTTAGATATCCTATGCATGTAGAGATAGATGATGTTTTCATCATGGCTTCCCCACTTGCCTTCCTCTTTTAGGAGATTCCTTGTCAGCCTCTGATGACTGTGTGTTCTGTGTATGTGGTTTCATATCTTTATCCATGTTTGTATTTAATACGTGGACTTTTATAGTGCATATATATGTGTACTGATCATATTATATGTTTCCTGTGTGTTGGATATCTTAATTTCTGTTACGTATTTACTGTACCTCCCAAGTTACACTATAGAAAAACATGTAGGAAATGACTGTATGACTTACTGTTTTAACTAAAATACAGTATTAGTCTAATACTATATAGAATATAGTATATAACTACTCAGCTAGTGATAGATTTTACCTATTCTATTCTGGGATTTTGAGCACATTGCATTTAAAATCCAGCTCTGAAACCTGTGGTAGGCAATGTATATTTTTGTAGTAGTATTTATCAAATCAGATATTGATTTTATGGTAGCAACAAGTGGTAAGGGAGTATTTGTGTCATTGATTCTGGATTAAAGGTGCCTCCTGAGAGAAGAGAAAAATCTTAAACCAGTGGCCAGGATTGGGTTTAGAATTAAATTTGTACTAGTCAGCATGTTTGGAATCTCAGCCCACTAAATGATAAAAAAAAAAAATTATAAGTTGGCCTTTGACTATTGATACTTCTAAGATAATTGGTAGAAGAAAAAGAAAAACTGCCTTGGGTGAAGGGTAAGAATTTAGTGTAGATCTTCCCCACTATCCAAGAGTTCTGTGAAACCTCTTGTAAGCCAAAATGGCATAAAATAAAGGAGAGTTATCATTAATTTATGGAACATGTTGGTGTACTCCAGATAAGCAAAAAAATCTACTACCTTATATCAAATAACACATAAAACATAAAGTGAAATTAACATATAGTAAAAGCAGGAATATTTGATAAATACACAGCTTAAATAAAGTAGCTCCTGGAGAGGGAATTTGGTGGACTACCTTTGCTGTGTGGGTTACATACTCTCTTTCGAACAGTTTAGTTTGTTGTGAAACTAATGCCAAACACTTTCTATTTTTCATCTTTTATTGTAAAAGCAAAACTCCTCTTAAGACATCTTTTGGTTAACAAAACTAATGTAGGCCTTTAATAAAAGAAAAGTGTTTTTTTAAATGACATTTCAAAAAGCAGCGGATACATGTATTTTCCATTTCTTGTATGAATCTGCTCCTCATATAGTTACTCTTAGAACCCAGCTAATGAAATGAAGCAGAGATGATAGAATTAGACTGAGTTGGTAAATTTCTTCAATAGGCGTTAGGGGAGTAAATATTTTTAGGTTTTACATGCTACCTAGTCTCTGTAGCAGTTACTGAAATCACACATGGTTTGATTCTGTTACTATAAAAATTTGTTTAAAAAGGAGCCAGTGGGACGAACCCCTGAATTGGGCTAACAGTTTGGAGTATAGCTGTACTATGACTTGTTAGCATCAATAACTTCAGAGCATTTATTAAATAATGCACATCACTTGTCATCATCTACTACAGAGTCTAAGTGGATTCATATTGGAATGTAAGTCCTAAATTTATAGTTTATAGATTAAATGGATTAGAAGATTGGCTATGCCTTTAGGATATGTGAATTTTCTTTTTAGTTACAGATAAAATGAACAGTATCATTACAATAATCAATTAACTGATATTGATCTTAAGAGGTTTTAATGCTAGAAGATAATGTAACGTTCGTCATGTCTGATTATTATTAGAATAAATAAACTTGAACTATGAAATAATTTTGACTAATGAATTTATATATCTTGTCATTATGTTGATAAATTTAAGTAGACTACTTATATATTCAAGACAGATGTGAGAAATTTCAGAAGATAACTTCTGAAGTTTTATTTACTAATTGTTAAATTTGCACACATTCAGTATTTAGTAATTGGTAAAAGTCTCCTTTCTCATCTATCCTGGCACCCCTCAATTTTCACCAGTTTAAAAAAAAAAACAAACTTGCTGGCAGTATAAATAGGTTGACAGACTTCATGTTTTTCTCGTCACTGCCTCTAGGAAGTATTTGAAAAGGAACAGTCTATATGCGCTGCAGAGGAACAGCCAGCAGATGATGGGGTAAATGCTTGTTTTCTTACCTATCTTTCCTGGTGAAAAAAATGTTTAGTGTAGTTCTCTGATTGACTTATATTTCTGTCAAGGAGTAATAATTCATTTATAAAAATTTTTAGTTTAGTTATTTCTACCCAAGAATTACTATGACTCCCCCAATGAAACTGTTGCTTTACCTTCAGAATGTATATATGTGTTTCAATTTACAGCAGGCTGATACTAACAAGAATAGGACAAAAGGAGTATGGCAACAGAAGAGTAAAGGACCCAAGAAAACTACTAAATCAAAAAAAAAGAAACCTTTAAAAAAAAAACCTACACCTGTGCCCTTAACGCAGTTAAAGCAACAGAGACAAAAGCAGGCAAATGGAGTCGTTGGGAGTGTAAGTTTTTTATTATCACTGTTGTCTTTATTGATGTATAATATGCACTAAAATGTTCAAGTCATATGTGTACAGTGCCTGAAGTTTCATATTCCTATGATATTCAAATATAAATGTATATATTTAGGTATATTGACCTGTCTGTCCCTTTATCTATGTATACCCATCTTAACCAGGTAAAGATAAATCACTTTACCAGCACTCCGTAAAGCTCCTTTGTGCCTCATCTCAGTGACTCCTCCATCTACCTCCATACCTTTGTCCCCGTCTGTTAATACCGTCAGTTAGTTTTGTTCTTGAACTTCATTTAAGTGGAATTCTGTTTTCATTCAGTATTATGTTCATGGCATTCATCTGTATTGTGTGTAGCATCCCATTATATGAGTGCACCACAGTTTTTCTGTTCTGTGGTTGGTAGAATTTTGGGCTTTTCGTTTTTCCTGTTAATTAGTAAAGCAGCTGTGCTTAGTTCTTGTATATGCCATTTTGTGGGCATTCATTCCTTTAGGTATGTTCCTAACAGAATTGCTGGATTTTGCAAATAAGTGTCTGTTTAATTTGTTGAGTCTATTTCCCAAAGTTGCACCCTTTTAAACATCTACTAGTAAAATATGAATCAAGTTGTTTCATATCTTTACCAAAGATTGTTTTTGATTTTGATTTTATGAGTATTATTTTAGCCACTATGGTTTATTTCAAGTGGCATCTCTGTATTGTTTTTATTTGCTTTTACCTGACAACCGATGGTATTCAGTGCCTTTTCATGAGCTTACTGGTCATTTAGATATATATTTTTAAAATTTTGGATTCTTTTATGAGTTCGTAGGAATCTCTTACACATTCTGAACTTTTTTTTTTTTTTAACTCTTTAATGGTAGTATTTGGTAGTTCCTAAATTTAATAAGGTCTGCTTTGTCTGTCATGGATAGTGCTTTTTGTATCCTGTTGAAGGCATTTCTGACTCTCAAGAACACAAAAATATTTTTGTTTTCTTCTAGAAGTATTATTATTTTACTTGTTATATGATGTATCTTGAATTTTGGTGAATACTGTGAGATAGAGATTTTAATCACTTATTTGTTGTAAAGCTCTTATTTCCTCCTTGAATTACAATGGTGACTTCTTGTAAAACAAGTGACCATAATTGTATATGAATAAATCTATTTAGATTATCTAATTCATTCCATTTACCTTTTTGTTCAATTTTTTAAAAAAGATTTTATATATTTATGCATACAAAAACTGGGGTGTAGGCTACAGGTATGGGGGTGGGTAGGAGAATTCACTAGAGACAGAGTGGGGAGCAGACCAACTGGATCTACTGAAATACACTACTGAGGGGAGCAGCAGGCGAGACAAGAGAGGTCTGTTGTGCTATGTGGGTCAGTTCCCTGGTGAGTGGTCGAATTCATGCCCATCAGACTCCTGTCACAGTGGCTGGCTGCTGGTTGCTTGATAGCGTGAGACTTTAACCGCAGTGCCATCAGGGAGGCCTTTTATTGTTTATTCTTAGGTCAGTGTTGCACACTTTTAATGATTGTATCTTCTTACTAAGCTTTTTATGAGAATCTAAATTTCGTAGTATAAATCACTAAACTCTTACTTTACTTCTTCAAAATTATCTTGATTATTTTGGGTTGTTTGCATTTACAGCTAAAGTTTTACAATAAGCTCAATAACTTCCACCAAAAAAGAGCTGCTGGAATTAGGTTAGTATTGCATTGACTCTGTGGTTCCATGTGGGGAGAATATACGTTAACAAATTGACTTTGTATTTGTAATAATGGTTTATCTTCATTAATTTGGATCTTCCTTAATTTTTCTCAGGAGTGTTTTATAATTACAGTGCAGAGGTGTGGCACATCTTTATTAGATTTAGCCCTATGTATTTTGATATTCTCTGGTGCTATATTACAAATGACATTTTCAAAAATCCATTTTTTAGTGTTTATTTGTGTACAGAAATAGAATTGCTTTCTAAATACTGACCTAGTATTAAGGATTCTTGATGAATTGATGTCACTGTTTATAGATATTTTAAATAAGATTTTCTCCATTACACAATCATGCCATCT